CCCCCCCCCCCCCAAAAAAAATACGGAGTAAATGATTACAAAATGAGCATTCAGACAAATCTACCCATTTATCAAGAGTTATCATCGAGCCCTTCACTTTAACACTGTACTTCCATTTCTTTGCTCTGGATCCCGCATGTCGTTCCCATTCATTAAGTGTTTGTTTCCTTGTACCACATGAACCACACTTGCACTGAACTCTGAAATGATGAGCAATGAAGGCCATTTAGTATTTCTCCAGATGTGAATTGAATTGTTTCTCAGATCACTTATACCAGGTTACAAAAACTACTTGAACATCATTAAAAATAAGAGAAAAAAACATGATTGGGACATTATTATTATTACTACTACGTATTAAATTGTCATAATAATAATAATAATAATTACAATTATTATTTTAGTAATAACAACAATAACAATATTAATGACTATGATTTGCCAGCATGGTGATGTAAAAGTGTAAACACTTGTTTCTAGAGCAGCTCAAGCCACTTTTTTTAGCCAAGAAAAGAAGTTGAAAATAGCTCCTTGGCTAAGTTTGGTTTAATGGAAGATCACAATCAGCATCATCAGCATTTCCCCTTACATTTATAGAAACAATCAACTCCTTATTTTAATTTTGAAGCTTACAAATGAAGATTTGGGTGATAAATTCCTTCCATGCCCAAGCAGACAACTTCAACCTTTCCAGGCATCTCTGTTTGGTTGATGTTCTCCATAGGCCTGCTTGATAGGCTTCCAGATACCACATATTTTCAGAGATAAGTACAAGTCAGAAAGTGAAGTAGTAAGCTTATGCTGAGGACAAAAGAAGGAACAATAGCATTCATTATGTCAACGAAGATACCTGGGTTTTTGTTGCCTTTTTTCTACACCGACAGAAGTATGACAAGCTTTAATTTTGCATTCGGGGCAGAAATAATCAGTGCTGAACAGGTCCTGCAAGGCTAGATAACTTCACTATGTCTAACATTCCAAATGCAGAAATAAAATAGATACATTAACACTAATAAAATTTTACATATCAAAATGCGCAAACCTCAAAAACGTTGTGGGATATACTGGTGCACTCAGCATGCATCCAAATATTGCAACCATCACAACATACCTAACAAGGCATACAGCAAAATAGAACAGCAAAGTTCAAATTTACTGTCTTTGAATTAGAAGCCCAACTGCAGATGAAAATGTAAGCATCTTACCCAGTTCCCACCATCAGAATGATGCCAAATTTTCTTGCAGATTCCACAGTACTGCTTTGATCTCCTCAGCTAACAAAAGAAAAACAGTTATCAAATGCAAAAGAGGTGTATTGATCTATGAAATAGCAAAACAAATAAGGGCATAATTTGAACATTGCAAAATTTTACCTTGGTACAGTGTGTACAAATAAAATGGGTTTGAGTGTCCCTGTCTTTCACTTTATTCATTGTTCTGCATGGCAGATTTAAACCGCAGCTGTCACAAAATCGAGTTCTTTTCCTCTTAGAGTATGCATCCTGCAAAGAATAGGTTGCACATGAAGCTTTGCTTGTGAAGCATTTTATGAAATGAGTTCTCAGTGGTTTTGTCAACCAAAAAAATACGGAGTAATAAATCTGATAATAGGTTCATTGTTTCTTCAGAAGCCATTCTAGTGCTCACTACAAAGATTTTCTCCATAGCTTGCCTGGGGGTATGAGCAGCATTCTAGCTCCTGATTGGATCCTGTGTCCTCTGCAATCTCTGCTTGGTTTGGAAGTAATGGTGTCTCTTGTGCATTGGCAGACTCTCCATTCATACAGCCCTGGCAAGCCAAAACTGCCTCTTCTATTGCTTTGCGGAAATCAGCTGGCTTGCTTCCAAACAAGTTAGTCTGTCCCTGAAATCTGCATACAAAATTATCACATTAAGTGGGCTAAAAATAATCTAGTAGATATGTTGTGCAATATATTTCACTCACTTCTCCAGGCACTCTTGAAAGGGAAATATCATTCCGGCTTTGATCCATCCATAGTCCTGCATGAAAACAGCCACCTTAGATCCTACTACGATATCATAGCAGTAATAGCACAAGGTTCATAACTTTAGACAATATAATCACCCTTGCTGTCCACTTTATCTCCATGAGTGCAGCTAAGGAGGTGTTGAATTATATATATAGAAGTGAAAAAAACAGATTACCCTTTGGTGATTTCTGGCGTACCCATAAAACATCACACAAATAGCATTTGGAACACAAGCCTTGAGAACAGATTTTGGTGCATCACATAGTGGATCAATGACAAGAGCTGGCCAGGCAGGGAACTTCTTTCCACATTTTGCCCAGACTATATCGCCCAAAAGAAAGTCCCCTAGCCCATAGTAATCTTTCTTTTCAACATTCCTCTTTGTGTATTTCTCAGATCTTGCAGACCAAGTCTTCACCTTAGGTTGAGACTCAGCAAATGATGAAACACCACATCCACTTACACATGTCAATGAGCTTTTTGAACTTGAATACAATATGTTATCACAACCCGTGTGCCCCATATAACCAACCCCACCTACCTCAGCTCTCATGTGACTATCGATCAACTTTATATCATGCAAGTGCCCAAATCTAAAGTTATTAGCTACGTTTTTCTCCATATTACATGTAGGGTTATCATTGTCAGAACAGAGTTCCTTATCGTCAACACTGGATCGATCTTTCCTCCACGAATGCAAAACTGAGTCGTTGAATTTAGAAGGAAGCATCTGAAAACGGCCACGGGAGGACTTTAGGAGTGGAGCCTTTGTCTCCTCTGAACCTTTATTCTTACCTGGAAAAGGTTGAATTGCACTGGAAATCATCACATTTGATTTCGCTTCACCATCATAGCTAGAAGCCCCTCTGCGCCCTGAACCAACAAAACAGGTGTTCCAATCCTCTAACTCCGTGATTTTGACCGAAACAAGCTCATTGGTTCTCACTCTTTTAGGCGAGAACGTCTCGTCGTTCTCAGCCAAATTGCACCGTTTCAACTTTGGCATCCCGAATATCCGTTTCACAACCATGTCCTCATTCTATTCTATGAAGAATATAATCGCACAAATTCTCAACTCTTGGATATGAACCCAAACCGGAACCCTAAAACTCTCCGCCGGAACAAAATAAATTTCTCGCGTCAGGCCACGAAAATCCCAGAAGGACAATTAAACGATCGAATTCGCTCGAATCTTGATCCAAACCCTACAAATCTCAAATTCTTAGCAGCAGCAAACTCCCGAAAAAAAAGGGAAGATAGGCAGTGAATTGAATTGAACCCTGGATTAATCGGCAAGCAACAATGGGGAAAACGAACGCAAACTGTAAGAATTTACTGAGAGTGTTCAATACGCTTTTATGAAGAATCGATGCTTCTCCAAAAATCAAAGGAGAAAGCCCAGAAAATACGAAGAACTGAAACCTACGACAAGAAAACCGTTGAGACGAGGAGAACAGATCGATGCTCTGCAGAGGTTGATGCCTTCCGAGTGCAGATATAGATTTTCTGTATGTAAAGCGGAGTTTTTTTTGCATCTTATATTTTATTTATTTAGAGATATTTTTTGTCTATATATTCAAACAAAATACTCCAAAAAAAAAAATAGAAACTAAACCGAAAGCTTTGGCTCCAAGAATGCTGCGAAATTCAAAAATGGACATAAATTTTGGGAGGGAGTCTCCGGCCGCGGGAGGCTAGTGCCACCGTCGGAGGTGTGGCTATAGGCGGTTTTGGATCCGCCCCATAATATTATCCCCTTGGCCCCTTACATTTTTTTACCCCTAAATTAATATAAATTCACCTTTGAGGGGTGGTAGGGTAGAGGGGTATATGCACATGGATAGGGGTAAGTTTAAGGGTGAGATAGAGGGTATTATCCCCTTCGTGCACGGATACTCGTTGTGCCACGTGTTTAGATTAGAGTTTTTTTGTTGGACGATTGTCAATGTCAACTGATGACATTTGCTTATTTAGATCATATTTACAGTATTCTGTTTGTAAAATTGATGGTACTTAGCCATTCTAATTCCTCTGGTAAATATCCTCCTCTGTCCTAACCCAAGTACATCTCCCACTCCTGTCAAATGCACCCCGCAATTTTAGTTGTCTGTGTGGTAGCAAAGTTTGACCCCAAAATTATTATTATTATTACATATTATTATTGTTGTTATTATTCTTAAATGATTTCTAGTTTTGATTTTGTCATTTCATTTATATTATTTTTAAAATTTTCAATTTTTTAACTTTAATTTTTTAATTTGTTTACATATGCTATTGAATATCTTTCAAAAAACTTTAAAAAAATTAATTTTTCCTAACATCCAAGTCCAAAAGCTACTCCACTTGGCTTTTTAGATCAAATATCCAAGTGAAAAAGTCATTAGCCAAACAATGGTTTTGGATGTTCGAGTAGTCAATAAAGCCAAAGTCAGTCAAAAGCGATCTCAATATTTTTCAAACATGGCCATGTACTGTATAGACTTATCTAATGTAAAGTAGTGTGCATGCTCCATTGCCTATTGGTTCATTATTACCAAAATAATACTAGACTCACAAACATATAGTTCACAAATTTCACAAACTTGTTTTTTGTGGATTTTAAATTAAAATATTCTTTTACTATATGTCATTATATAGTACTTCCATCCTCGATCTGTCACTACGACCAATCACATTTTCTGTAAATTATGCCGCACAGTGCAATATCAATGCCGTCTCATCAAGTTCTATTCCTAGCTTGCATGCACAGTCCTGCCTGTAAGGGCATTTGTGACCTTTCCTCTATTCATATTTCATACAATTACCATGGGTGTGAAAAAGGGTGTCTCCCAAATTTAAGTGAGGGCAGGGCATTTGTGACCTTTCTTCCATTTATTCCCTTTGCCTTGATCCCTTGTGCAAATAAGAAAATGAAGAAAGAATTGGAAACCATCCAGTGACCATAACTATGGAATCAAACAAAATGCAGCCTCCTGGCTTAATTAGGACATGCCCAAAACTTAGAGTAATGCCCCC